GCTTAGATTGCATTAAGTATCAAATAACATGAGGAAAACTGACATTTCTTTTACAATTGTGCATCTGTTCTTTTAGGAATATGTTACATCTTATCTAGAAATGAGTTCAAGTCTTCTTCGGTCACGTGTGGAAGATTTCTGTATACAATCCTACTCATTTATGGTTAAATTTATTCCAGATATTTGTATTTAGTGTAAATGGATATTTTTAGTCAAATTATATATTATCTCTTATTGATGTGTTAATAGAAAAGCAGTTGATTTTCATATATCTGTTTATAACCAATCTATATGTTGAAATCTTTCTTTTCTTTTTTTTTTTTTTAATTGGGGTATAGTTGCTTTACAGTGTTGTGTTAGTTTCTGCTGTACAATGAAGTGAATCAGCTATATGTATACATATATCCCCTCCCTCTTGGCTCTCCCTCCCATCCCCACCCATCCCATCCATCTAGGTCACCACAGAGCACCGAGCTGAGCTCCCTGCACTATACAGCAGGTTCCCACTAGCTATCTGTTTTACACATAGCAGTGCATGTACATCAATCCCAATCTCCCAATTCATCCCACCCCCCATACCCCCCACGTATCCATACGTCCATTTCCTACATCTGCATCTCTATTCCTGCCCTGAAAATAGGTTCATCTGTACCATTTTTCTAGATTCCACACACATGTGTTAGTATATGATATTTATTTTTCTCTTTCTGACTTACTTCACTCTGTATGACAGACTCTAGGTCCAACCGCATCTCTACAAATTACCCAATTTTGTTCCTTTTCATGGTTGAGTAATATTACATTGTATATATGTACCACATCTCCATTTTCTATTATTTTTTCCATTGATTCTTGTGGACTTCATAAGTATGTCATCAAATAATGATAATTTTGTCCCAATAGCTTGAAATCAGAATTTGTTTCCTGCTTTATTGCATAGGCTAAAATGATCACAATCATGTTAAGTTTGGGGGGGTAAAGTAGGCACCACTTTCTTGGCTTTGATGGTAATGCCATTAGAGTTTCAGTTTCCAAAAGATGTGGTGCTTGTTTGAGGTAGTTATTCTATTCTATACATCATTAAAGAAGAAACTTTTTATTTGTGCATTACTAGATAGGTAGGTAGGTAGATAGATAGATAGATAGATAGATAGATAGATAGATAGATAGATAGGAGATAAGTAATGGTTTTCAATTTTGTCAGATATCTTTTTGGTGTCTGTTGAAAGATCATTTAAAAATTTTATAAAGCCTCGTGTATAATATATATTATCCCAATAACTTTCCTAATACTGAAGCAGTGTTGATAGTTTTTGTTTAATAATGCTACATTTTTCTTCTGCTATACCATGAAAATCAGTTTGCTGATATTTTGGGGAGAACAAGAGTGAGATTTTTGGAGGTTTCTCATATTTTAGTATCAAGGTTAATTTAGCTCTTTCTTTGTGCTAGAGACATTTTTACTTCTACTTGAGAAAATTTGGCAATTTCTCTTTTTCCAGGAAATTATCAACATTATTGATATTTTAATTTTATTCCTATAGAATCATGTATACAATTATTTTTGAACATCTTTCTGAATATTTTATTTCATTTCCGGTTTCTAACTATCCGTATTTTTAACTTTATTGATGTACAACTGCCCAAAAAACTATATATATTTAAGGTACACAACTTGATGTTTTGATCTAAGTATACATTATGAAATGATCACCACAATGAGGCTGATCAACACATCCATCATCTCACATAGTTATGGTTTCTTGTCATAAGGACACTTAAGATATACCCTCTTAGCAAATTTCAGATATGTAATACCATGTATTGTTAACTCTACTCACCATGCTGTATGTTAAATCTCCAGAACGTATTCATCTTGCATAACTGAGATTTTGTATCCTTTGACCCCCATCTCCCCATTTCTCCCACCTCCCAGCCCCTGTCAACCACCATTCTACTCTGTGCTTCTGTGAGTCTGACTATTTTAGATTCCACATGTAAGTGGGATCATGTAGTGTTTGTCTTTCTGTGTCTGGTTTATTTCACTTAGCATAATGTCCTCTGGGTTCATCCATGTTGTTGCAGATGGCAGAATTTCCTTCTTGTTGAAAGAAGAATAATATTCCATTGTATATTCGTTATCATTTATCCATTTTCTTTACCCATTCATCTGTTGATGAACATTTAAGTTGTTTCTGTATCTTGGCTATTATGAATAATGCTGTGATGACCCTGGGAGTGCATATATATCTTTGAGATCCTGATTTCATTTCTTTTGGATATATACCCGATCGTATGGTAGTTCTGTTTTTATTTTTTTTGAGGAGCCTCCCTACTAGCTGTAACAATTTACGCCCCAACAACAGGGTACAAGGTTTCCCTTTTCTCCATCTCCTCGCTTAGTCTTGTCATTTCATTTCAAATAACATGTCATGTCATTTTTCGTAATAGCCATTCTAACAAGTTTGAGATGATATCTCATTGTGGTTTTGATTTGCATTTCCCTGATGATTAGTAATATTGAGCACCTTTTCATGTATCTTTTGGCCTTTTGTATGTCTTCTTTTGAGAAATGTCCTTTTCCCATTTTTTTAATCAAGTTTTATGTTTTTGCTATGGAGTCATAGGAGTTCCCTATTTTTTTTTTTGACATTAACCTCTTATCAGATATATAGTTTGCAAATATTTTTTTACCATTCTATAGCCTGCTTTTTCACTCTGTTGATTATTTCACTTGCTGTGCAGAAGCTTTTTAGTTTGATAGCTCATTTATCTGTTTTTGCTTTTGTTTCCTATGTTTTTGATCATGTCATATCCAAAAATCATTATCCAGACAAATGTCAAGATGCTTTTACCCTGTGTTGTCTCCTAGGAATTTTACAGTTTCAGGTCCTATGCTTAAGTCTTTAATCCATTTTGAGTTGATTTTTGTATATGGTGTGAGATAGGATTCCAAGTTCATTTCCTCTGTGTGGATATCCAGTTTTCCCAGCTTCATTTATTGAAGAGATTATCCTGTCCCTATTATGTGTTCTTGGCATCCTTTCAGAAGATTAGTTGACCATAAATGTGTGGATCTGTTTCTGGGATCTCTATTTTGCTCCCTTGAACTATATGTTTGTTTTTATGCCAGTACCATAGTGTTTCAATTACTATAGCTTTGCAACATATTTTAAAATCAGGAGGCATGATGCCTCCAGCTTTGTTCTTCTTGCTCAAGTTTGCTTTGGTAATCTTGGGTCTTTTGTGGTTACATATGAATTTTAGGATTGTTCTTTCTATTTCTGTAAAGAATGCCATTGGAATTTTGATAGGGATTTTATTGAATCTGTATATCACTTTGGGTAGTCAGGATATTTTAACAATATTTTTCCAATCCATGAACATAAGATGTTTTTCCATTTATCTGTGTTCTCTTTAATTCCCTTCATTACTGTAATTTTCACTGTACAAATCTTTCACCTCTTTGGTTTAGTTTCTTCCATTCTTTTTGTTGTTTTGTAAATGGGATTTTCTTAATTTCCTTTTCAGATAGTTCATTGTTTGTGTATAGAAATGCCACAATTTTTTGTATGTTTGTGTCCTGTAACTTGACTGAATTTGTTTATTAGTTTTAGTAGTTTTTTGTATACGCTTTAGGATTTTCTGCACATATGATCATGTCATCTGCATATAGAGATAATTTCACTTCTTCCTTTCAAATGTGGATTTTTTTCTTGTCTAATTACTCTGGCTAGAACTTCCAGTACTGTATTGAATAGAAGTAATGAGAATGGACATCCTTACTTATTACCTTTACATATCTGGAGCAGAGTCCACAGGGAAATAGGGCTGCTTCTAGGATTGCAGCCAGGACCACAGTTAGCCAACCGGCCACTGGAGTACAGGCCTACCTTCTGAAAGCATTCTTTGTCAGTTTTAGACTCCACCAGAGTTTTGCAGCCTGGGTCCCAAGGCTCACACAAAGGCACTTTTGTCTGTGGATGGCTGCCAAATTGTCGTTTCTCTGGGGGTATGAAGGTGAGGGACCTCCTATTCACCCATTTTGCTGACATCATTCCCTCTACCTGTACTTATACATTTTTTCTTTTTCCCTAATCAGATTTACCAAGAAATTACTTTCCCCTCAAATAAATAAGCAAATAAACAAACTGAATATTTGATTTAATTATTAGTTCTGTTTATTTTATGAATTCATTAAGTTCTGTATATGTAATAATTTTCTAAATTAACTTTATTAACATCAGTATTTATTTTTGATAAAATTGACTTAGGTTACTGAGGGAAAAAAAGATAATCACTAAAAGATATTGTAAACAACCCAGAATAAAGTCATGTTCCCTACATGGTGATAGACAAGGTTGTATAATTATTTTTTTCCTTATCGCAATGCCCACCAAGTTTGGCTACAAGATTACCATAGGTCACACTTGGCAACAGATTAACTTAGAAGGACAAGAAATATATCTTGCCAGCAGGCCAGTGTTAGTTATTTCTCTTCAGTGTGAGTTTTACTTGCAGAATTCATTTAGAATATACATCACAGGCAAGAAGATGATACCCAGATTGGGTGGGTGCAAAAGCCTATCTGGCTTGGAAGCCTAATAATCCAAAGGAGTCAATATCTCTTGTAACAACTCCAAAAGCACAATTTCCAGGGTCCCCAAAGACACAAGGCCAGCTATAAGAATTACTGCACTCAGAGAAGCTCAGTGACATGGTTTCCTTTCCTGCATTTACTGTTCTCCCAGTTCAGATGACATTTACTACTCAGGTGTCATTTTACATTCCAACTTTATTACATTTCCAAGAGAACAGAGCTGTAAATTAACCAGAAGCCAAATTCTCACGCAGAATAGGTGTTTAGTTTGAAATACAGGTCCTATTAATTTTTTGCACAATTAAATATATACCAGTGTAACATTTTTTATCCTGTCTATATGACTTAAAATTCCAACCTTAAATCCTATTTTCTTCTTTTGTTCTCCATATTTGCCCAGGTAAAATATGGAAATTATGCTTTTGTATGGGATGCAGCTGTATTGGAATACGTGGCTATCAATGACCCAGACTGCTCCTTTTACACCATTGGGAATACTGTTGCTGATCGAGGATATGGAATTGCATTGCAGCATGGCAGTCCTTACCGGGATGTTTTTTCACAAAGGTAAGATTTGTGTGTGGTCCAAATAAGAAGAGAGGAAATATAGAAAAAGGAAAATCCACTTGGTTACTCCATTTAGTTTACTACATTTTGTTTTCTTTGTTTGGAAAACCACAGTAAACAACAACAAAAGGGAATTATAACTGATTGTTCAATAAGACATTTCCTAAAGCATGTACTAAAGTATTATTTTTCGCATAAAAAGGGAAAAGTTACTGCTGCATATAACTGGTTATTCTCAAAAAACTGATATACAAAATAAAATAAAAACTTAATTGAGTTTAGCCTCTGAATTTTTAGGAGCTAAAACTGTCATAGAGTTAGCAAAATTCATTCCTTTCTAAAAACACCAAAGCATAAAATAAACTTCAGGACCAGGTTAAAGTTTTGAAGTACATACTTATAGGGATGTTTCCATATCAATTTTGCAAAGGAAAAGAGTAAAAATTTTAGAGTCTGTCATTGGTGTCAAAGTATACGTGAAACTTTGTCATGGAAATTTAGAAGACAGTTTATTAAGAAATTATACTCATCCTCAAATCAGAATTTTCTTTATAAGTTGTTTAAGAAAGAAAATTTTAAATGTATATTTTATATTAATGATGTAGATGAAAGACTTGGGCCTGAAAGGAATTTACAAGATCACTGCATTTTATTATCTCTACTACCGAACAAGGTCAGACCTAAGAGAGAGAAATATCTTTCAGGTAGAAGTATGTTCTATTTGCCACTGATTTCTTTGATTTATTACTAGATATTTTTGTACCTGTTTTCTAAAAGCTAAAGCCAGATGAAAGAGAGCAGTACTGGGTAGTACTCTAGGTAGTACTAAGGCCCCAAATTTTAAACTATTTGAGTTGTATTCCTCCAAATTTCAAGATAACAAAAAGCCAGGCATTTTGTGTGTAACAAAACAAGTCAGTAGTCCAAATTTATGTTATAACTCTTCTGTTAGCTAACTAAAAACCTAGGCCTCTCTCTTTATCAGCAAATGAAGATATTAAATTAACTCTAGGGTCCTACATTAGTCACCTTTTCTGTGTAACAAACAACCCAAATCAGTGACTTTAAAAACGTTATTTCTCAGGACTTCCCTGGTGGTCCAGTGGTTAAGACTTCGCCTTCCAATGCAGGGGGTGCAGGTTTGATCACTGGTCAGGTAGCGAAGATCCGACATGCCTCGCGGCCAAAAATCCAAAACATAAAACAGAAGCAATATTGTAACAAACTCAATAAAGACTTTAAAAATGGTCCACATCAAAAAAAAAAAGTTATTTCTCATTGATGGAACGTAAGAGCTGTGATTTGGCTGAATTCTGCTGCGAGTTGCGGGTCAACTGCAGGTCTCTATGCAGCTTCTCGTCCCAGGGACCACCATTGTTCTTCTACTTGTTAGAAGAGGCACACCATTGCTTTTATGAATTTAGAAGAGAGGATGGAAAGCATAATGGAGTGAAGGGAATGACAGGGTTTTATGGTAAAAGACCAGCAGAGAAGTTTAATGGATCCTTAACATGAACCAGGTCATCAGGAAAAGGATGGTTTATTCCTTAGTTGCGGTTAATTGGCTTTTTCTTCACGACAGATATTTTTTGTTTCCAGACCTGATTTCTGGGTTTTTTATGCCAAAAAAAATGAAACCAATAAAATCAATACACAAACATAATAGCAATTAAAGAAGTATTTAATCAGTCACACCAAATGTTCTATTTCTTATTATCCATGTGGTGTTTTACCTTACAGAGATTTTAATTCTGAGTGAATATATTTCATTGAACTACTAAAACACAATATTAAGCAATGAGCATTATTTTTCCTTTGATTAGCATCATGGATGTTGACAATTTAAATTGTCCTTCTCTGTGGAGTTCCTTAATAATGACACTCTGCATTCTAGTCCCCTGGACACATCTGGAGGAAGAGAGAGGAAAGAAACACGATCTGGCCAGCCCCCCTCTATACATATGTGCAGCGTTAATCTATCACCTAAACTCTCTCCCTGAACCCAGAAAATATCTGCATTCATTCCCTTTTGCTATAGCCATCAGGGAAAAAAGAACTCCTTTTTATTAACTAATTTAAAAGTTATAGAGACCATCACACTAATCATTGTATTATACTTTAGAAATTATTATAAATAGCTTTACTACAACAACTTATCCTGGACCACTAGTTAAACTAGATCACTGATTGCTCGTGTGATTATATTCAGTGAAATGACAGTACTCAGAGTGATTTTTAATAAGTAAATACTAATTATACCTCAAGTAACTATGTGCCTATACCACACATATTTGATATCAAAGTACTTTAATATGTAATAAATATTATATAATGATATAGTAACTACGTTTATTATCTGCTATCTGCCCAGTATCTTGTATGCTTTACATTTTAATGACTTCAGAACAATCATATGAAATGTTGTCTATTTCTTTATTACACACTTGCATATTAGTGCACAGTTATTAGAGTTATTAGGCTACAAGTACATACACTGAGTGGATGGTCCTGAGCTTTGGCAAGCATCATGTCAGGCATCAGAGGCATAGGCTGTAGTGATATGCTCACTTGTGCAATTGTATGCGAGTGGACATGTACAGGAGTGACTTTTAAGGACCAATAAATGCTACAATATATGACTGTAGATTTGGATAGAAGAATTCTGTTTCGTTGGTCTCTACAGATACTAGATAATTTGGTAGCAGAAATAAAAGAATTTATATATCTCACCAGATATATGGGTCAGAGTACTAGTGTGGTGGGTAATGTTTACAATGAATTCTCTGACACTATTTGTTCATCAAATGTTTTCTGTGGCCTTTGTCTCATAATAGTTCTTAGTATAATAAAATCATCAAAAGTTGTTACATTAAAGACATCTGTGAATGGAAGAGAACTGAATTTTTCAGAGTGATATCGTTATGCTGTTAATAAAATTAGTTCCAGTGTCGATCTTAGAACCTTAACTATTCATAAGGCTAAAAAGATAACAAAAAAAAATATTTATTGAGCATTTAGTACAAGCTCACCCCTGTTCTCAAATCTTAGTGGGTGTCAAGGAGTAACTAACTCATGAGTTTAATTTTATGCTTCATCAATAAAAGAGTCCCTTTTCGCCTGTTGGCTGCTAACCCTAAACTTTGGGAATAGAACCACCTAGTGGCACAAAAACAAGGACATATTTCAAACTGTATGGAGAATGATTTTGTTGAATTCATGGAGAGTGGCAAAGATGCATAAACAATATTTCAACCTAATCACAGAATTTCAGAATTTTTAGAAATGGAATGAACAGTAGTTCCCTTTTTTACCAGGGATAACTAGTCCAAAGGGGTAAATAACTTGCTCAGAATCACAAAAAAGCAATAAAACTGGAAATTTTTGACATTTTCTAGTTCTATGTTTAGTTTTTTGGTGTTCATGCACCTTGTCTTCCCTTATCTTTCTTTTAAAAGCTTATAAAAATAATATAAAACATACTGTATAATGCTTACTGTGTACCAGACCCTGAGTTCTTACATGAGGTAAGTACTATTATTATCCTCATTTTATAGACACAGAAACTGAGGGTGGGAAGCCCTATTTGTTTAGTTTTGAACTACTTGGATATAGTCTTTTTCCAGTGCCTACCTCATGCCTGCATAGAGTAAGCATTCAATAAATATTTGATGAATGAATAAAAGATCTACCTAACTTTGTGCTCAAAGATGATCCTATTTACTTATAATCAAATACGTTGAGTACTTATCCTTTGTGCTTACTTGATATTAAAAAGCCTTCTATCTTCTCTTATCATAATAATTTTCTATTTATCTTGGTTTCTCTAATTTTTCATACAATGATTAGTAAAACTGACAAGAAAGAGAAAACAAACATCACATGTCCACCTTTCTTTCCACTCACAGCTGTAAGAATTTTTATACTTTCATTCCAAAAAGGAAGGTAGAAAATATTTCTTTAACTTAAAATCATAGAGCCCTAATCCTTTTATTTCCCAACTTTCTAAGCAACTTTTTTCCCTTTTCAGGAAGAGAAAAAAGCAGCCTCCACTGATTGCCTATAGCAGCTCCAAAATAAGTCACCAACTGGCTTAAAACTCTGCACTTGGTTGGCTGGCAGGATATAACCAGAAGTCAAACAAACAAATTAATTGTTTTCTCTTTAGACATACAAAATATTTACAGTCTCTCCACTTTGAGAGCAGGAGTGACGTTATCAAGATACATATGTCAACATTAAGTAATATGAAGTTATACATTAAACTGCATTATATAGACAATGCTGAAAAAATTAGAGAAAAGGAAATCATTGCTGAATAGGATAGAAAAGATTTTATTAGACTTGAGCTGGAAGACTTCAAGGGAAAATAGAATTTGGATATGGGGACGGGTACAGGTAAGAAAAACATGAAACTCAGAAAAACATGAAATAACAAGTGAAAACAGTCGTGTAGTGAAAGGACAATGAGAAAGAACAACTTGACTGGAGAGAATGTTGGCAGGTGAATACAGGTAGAGAAGCGAAAATTAAATGTGATACACCAGAATATTGATAGCTGCTGTCTAATAAGTATATACTATGCTAAACACTTGATGTATTTCATATAATGCTCACCACAACTCTGTGAATTGGGCATTTATTAATTGCATTTGTAAATTTGAGGAAACAGAGACTCAGAGTTACGTATCTTACAAAGTCACACATTAATGACAAGTAGAGCTAGGACTCAAACACAGCTTAGAGCTCGTGTCCTCACGAGCTTTGTGGGGCTCTGAAGAGGAGAATATCTAGAGAAAGGAGTATTTGAAGGGTCCCAGGTGTTGGGTTAGACGAAGACAGAGTTTAACTGAGGAAGGCCATTTACAAGGCGGTGTAGTATTCCAGCTGTTAAGCAGTGAGAATATTCTCAATGAGAAGGAGAAAAGATTAGAAAAAAGGTACAGTTTGAAGAGGGATGGACAGGACTTGGTGGAAATCAGAGGAGTACATATAATCCAGGA